TCTCCACAACTCCACCATCCCACCCCGATCGATCATCATATATCAACTGGTGTACGTCTTAGGTTTTCTCATTTAAAATCAATTTCATCACAATCTTAATAACGTACTAATGTACACCATAACTCAATTTAATTACCCTACAGCGACTGACGACCTCCAAGCTCTAGCCACAACCTTTGGAGATGGTGATTTCCGGGAGTCTGCGGGTTGATTGTAGATATATAGCTACTTTTGCTAATATGAGCATACACAAATGAAAAGTTGAGCATATTAGATATTTAAAATAACATTTTGTAATTTTTCGATGCTCATTTGTAATTATGTGTGTGAAATTTGTATAATACTCATTTTAGCATAGTAGATGTTTTAAATGAGTTTTTTTTTTAAATTTTTATGCTCATTTCGTAAATTAATTATGTTCATTTGATATTGTTGTAAAACTCATTTTAAAATGTTCATATTAATGCATATTTCAAAAGTATAATATTACATAAAATATATATATTGGATTCATTCGGCTTTATTGTAGATATTTAAAAAAAATAAGAAAATCGAAATGAATTATAAAATATGAAGTCGATATTAGGATGCTCATTATTATACTCTCAATACTCAGAATACTCAGAAGAATACATCTGGTGCTCACTAAAAATATATTAATGTGCATTTTGTACCGTTGTTCTGCTCATTATATTTTAACATAAGACTTGATTATAGACACATGAGCACAAATCGTGATGCTCAACCGCATGATTTTAATACTCAATAAAAGAAGTTTGGTACTCAATTAAAATGTCTTCATGGTCAGATGTGTATAAAACCGAAAATGAATGAGCATACACAAATGAGCTTTTGAATTTTTGGATACTCATTTTGTAAGTTACATATGCTCATTTGGTATTGTTTTATGCTCATTTAAAAATGTTTCACATTTCAAACGCATCATACTATATTGGATTCAGATATTGAAATAATAAACGAAAAATAATAAAAAGAAATTGAATTAGAAGATATGAAGCAGAAATCACTTGTGCTCATTGTTAGACCCCTAATACTCAAACGAACAGACTCGATGCTCATCACAATCACGTAATGAAAATCACTGGTGCTTATAATTTCAAGTTGATGCTCAATGAAAATGTCTTAATGAGAATTGATTTTCATATCAATTCTCATTTTATGAGTTATTATGCTAAACGCGTATTCATGTTATGCTCATTTGTAAAATGGCATAACAATGCATATTTTTTTTCATTTTTTTTTAAATCCCCGGGTCGGGCTGGATAATTTGGGCCATTTGGGGTGGTTTGGGGGTCAGGGGTTGGGGGGGGGGGGGGGGGTAATTAGAAAAAAGGAAAAAAAATGTAAGAGGCCTGGCCCGGACCGGACCCGGTGGCTACCCGGGCCGGTCCCGGGCCCAACATTTCCTAACCGGCGGCCCGGTCGGGCCTAGGCCCGGGCCAGGCCCGAACCGGCCCGAGGCCACCACTGAGAATGGGAAATATTTTTAACCTTACCTCAATTTGGTAAATAATTTTTAATTTTGCATTATTCTTGAAAAAAAACTCAAGTAGGACTTCGTTTAATTTTATTATAGTTCTTCAAATTATTTAAAACTTGCGAATGAATAAAAAACTAAAAACACAAGCAATTTCCATTTCATAATCTCCAATTCTCCATCAGTACGTCCATCTAACACACACACATGTTCATGTTTTCATGATTCTAATCATAAAATAAATAGAAAAGGCTAAAAAATGTAATACTAAGCTTAATTAATTGGTAGAAACACAAAGTAAACACATATAAATTAAAATTTAAATAAGAAAAAGTTTATTTATTACATTTAGTCTTATTTGAACATGGAAAAATAGAACTAGTAGAGAGAAAGCCAAGTGGTAGTTCGGTAGATAGAATATGTATGTGCAAAAATTAATATTTGTACTTTTTTTGAAAGAGAACTAATTAATTAATATTAATAAAATCATGGTCCAAAGAAGTTGAAATACAAGTGGGATAATTATCAAACCAAATATAACGACCAGACATAGAAACAACATCTCTTGCAAAATCATGAGCTACTCGATTCGCAGATCGCCTCGGGTGAGAAAAAGAAATTCTAGAAAAGCTAGAAGAAATATCTCTTATGTCGTCAATGATGAGCCCCAAAGCCAAGCTGTCTGACCCAATTAATGTTTGTAATAATTTGAAGAGCGTCTGATTCTGTCAATATAGTCCCAACCAATATGCTTTAACCATATTTTTGCATTTCTAGCCCACCAAAGCCCACCAATGATGAGCCCCAAAGCCAAGCTGTCTGACCCAATTTGTACTCACTATTGTACCCACTTTTGTACCCACCATGTCTTCATAAACATATTTTTGTCTATGACCGGGATTCACAGACAAAAAAAAACTTCTCACAGACATGATGGGTACAAAAGTGAGTACAATAGTGGGTATAAACAGATTTTTCCAATCTGTAATGTCTTCCGGCAAGCCCCAAAAATGTGCAGCAGCGTTTCATTCTCTTGAGAGCAAAAAGGACAAATAGATTGACCCGCTACCCTTCGTACCAAAATTTACGCCATTGTTCCATATAGGGAAATTTACCAGGATATGACTAAAACTCAATGAGTTTCTGAATCTATGACCTAACTAGTTTTTAGACTTTTCTATGACCGAAAATCCAAAAAAATAAATAAATCACGTTTATATTTAAAGATTGAATGACTAAAATACCCTTATTTAAAATATGTGCATTTTGCACTGATTTCGTGCAATTAAAATTACTGCACTTTATATTGTCGTTACTGCCCGACATTAATGCACGGTTTTACTGCACATCCGGTAATAATCACTGCGCTTCTATCAAAATTAATTCTCTTCTCATTTACTTGAGCAATTTATTTTAAGTTTTTTTTTTGGATTTAATAATTTTATTATTTTGGGTCTAATTAAGTATATTGCCTTTCATGATGATATTATTCCTTTGTGTTACTGCAATACTGGTCATAATCAGTGCACAAAAAATATTTTAATGCATTCATTCACTGCCTTGTACGACATGTCTATAACCATGTATATTCACTGTCCATACTCAACACTGTTTGCAATGTTCACTGCCGATATTCAATGCTCATACTTAATGCCCCCAAACCCTAAATCAATAAAACCTCAATCAATTACCTGTATTAGTCACAAATCACAATAAAGTTAGCTAGAGCTAACTTCCGAAATAAAAACACTAATCACAACATATAGGTACACAGTAAACGTAAAAAGCAGAATACATATTCTGAAAGATTATTACAAATTAAACGTAAAAGAAAAAAGAATAAAAAAAGTTATTACTCGTATTAATTCTTAGAACAGATCGCTCGTTCAAAAAGAAAAATTTTGGAACCAGCGCAGTTTAATTTTTGGAACAAATCTTCTAAATTTAATGACCGACTGATTTTAACCACATAATACAGTGCCTCCTTAGCTTCCCAAAATCTGCCTTCAAATTTAGCAATGGGCGTGGCTGAGATATCAACGACGTGCGGCGATAAAGACGTGCCAAAAATATCCCATCCTGAGGCGACCTGAGGTGGCGGCAGGCGGCTGCATAGTAGGCCATGGGGCGGCGGCGGACGGCGGCCCATGGGGAGGTAGCGGCAGGGGGCGTGCGGCTGTGGGCGGTTGATCTATGGGGGTGGGAGAATGAAGGTTAGGGTTAGAGAAAAGAATAGGAGCTTAGGGTTTTATAGATATAACCTAAAGGGTATATTTGTCCACCCAAAAAATTTATTTATTTATTTATTACGAATTTTAATTAAATATTATGAGTTTTAATATTATTTTGGTAAAAAAACTAGTTAGGTCATAGATTGAGAAAGTGGAGAAGTTTTAGTCACACCTAGGATAATTATCTCTTCCATATATGGCGATATTTTGTACTTACGTGACGACGGAATTTAGCGTAGGGGTGGGAAAAACCGAACCGAAAGCCGGAGACCGACCCTGGACCGACCCAAATTATGATCCTGGTCCGGATTTTTTCTTTTTAACCGGCCCGAATTTAAAAAAATCCGGACCGAACCGAAAATTCCGGGCTCATTAACGGGCCTTAAAATCTATAACCCGGCCCGGACCGAAAAAAACCCGAAACAATTAGATTTAATATAAAATTAACATAGTATATGAATATAAATAAAATGTTTCCTAATATATGATTATAATCACGGTGCATAAAAAAAGATTTAGTAACTTTTAGTGAATACAAATATGTTGAATTTGTTTAGCGTAATGACCATGAGAATATATTTATAGCAACTCTAGTAACTTTTTTATTTATAAAATTTATTTCGTAATATTTTTAAGAAACCTATATTATTTATATATACATCTTACATAAAATATTAAGATAATTATCTTCTTTAAATTTGCGGTTTGTATTTTTAATTAATGTTATTTGAAAATAAGTGTTAAAATATAAAAGAACAATGACATATTTCACGTCCGGGCTTTAACCGGTCCAACCCGAACCCGGACCGAACCCGGGCTACCAAAAACCCGACTCGGACTGAATATAATGGGCTTTGTTTCGGTTCCTAATTTTCATAACCCGAGACCTTCCGGGCAATTTCCGGGTTTAGCAAAAACCCGACCCAGACCGGACGGATCCCACCCCTAATTTAGCGGTAAACAAATGTGTTCCGCTCAATTTAGCGGAATTTATAACAATTGACCGGCCAAAACACGGGAGCCAGGTTTACGTACAACTCAATTGAATTACAAAATTAAATACAGTGAGTTGAAACTTAAGAAGTAAAGGAATAAATAAATAAAAGGTCTGCGAATATACTGAGGAATTAATATAGAAATTAAGACTATTCAATTACTAAATTAAATACCGTGAAACTTCTCATATGAGCTTTAAGATTCTAAGCTGATAAATAGGTCCAGTACACATGCATGCATGCAGATTCATTATAAGTCACCTCACTCCCATCGATCTGGTCTGCCTTAAGCCCTTAATAACTGGTAGATCAGATCTGATGGAATATATGATTCTGGCATCGTCACTACTTATCCTATTAGTGACGTGGGCATGCACAGCCACTGCCACCGCCACCGCTCCGGCCCCCGCCGTTGAGGAACTCCCCGTAGCCGAACATTTTGAGCGGTGGATGATCCGCCATGAACGTTCTTACAAAGATGACCTTGAAAAGGCCAAAAGATTCGAGATCTTCAAGAGAAACAAAGAGTACGTCGAGTCTTTCAACAGAGCCGAAAACCGTTCTTACAGACTTGGATTGAATGCATTTTCCGACATGACCGACGAGGAGTTCACGGCGAAGTACTTCAAAAACTGCTCTAGAGGACCCGGACCCCAACGCCGCCGCCGTCATGCCCCGCCGGAGCCGCCGCTGTTTCAAGAAAATGTGAGCCTGGAACAACTTCCACCCTCGGTGGACTGGCGAGAGCAAGGCGCGGTGACCGACGTGAAGGACCAGGGAGGTTGCGGGTGTTGCTGGGCGTTCGCGGCGGTGGCCGCCATGGAAGGGCTGAACAAGATCCTCTCTGAAATTCTGCTGGACTTATCGGAGCAGCAGCTTCTAGACTGCGACACCGACTCTTTTGGGTGCGCCGGCGGCTCCATCATGTACGCGTTCGAATATGCGGTGGAGAAAGGCGGCCTGGCGATGGAGATAGACTACCCGTACGTCGGCGTTCAGCAGACATGCCGGGATGCTGACGTGGACACCTTCGCCGGCATCTCAGGCTACAGAGTCGTGCCTTGGAATAGCGAGACGGCTCTCCGCTCCGCCGTCGCGAAGCAGCCCGTCACCATCGTGGTGTCGTACAGTGCTGGCTTTGTTCCGTCGTTCAAGAACTACGACGGCGGAGTTTTCGTCCCCGGGCCTTCCGGTGACTGTGGAACTGGGGTGGACCACGCTATGGTGGTTGTGGGATACGATACGGTTGTCCCTTTTGTTCCATTCTGGATTGTGAAAAACTCTTGGGGATCAAATTGGGGAGAGGACGGTTATATTCGGATCGCGAGAGAGGGCGGTCTGTCTGGTCCTTGTAGCATGTACCAAGAAGCCATTTTTCCTGTTGCTAGCTAGAGCAGTCCTTTCTAATATAATAGCTCATCATACAACCCCATCATAAGCAAAAATGCAAAAAAAAAATTATTTTCCCAAATAGGATTTATTTAATCCTATTAAAAAAAGAAATTGATTAAAACTTTTTTAATTAAGTATGAGTAAATGAGTCCAATTTTGAGAATAAAACATTTTTATTTGTGAGCTTTACTATTGTCTTAGTCTAATTTGCGGAATTTTCTAATCAAAGAAATCACTCTACTATGATTTAGGGGTGTTTGGATATAATTCTTAAAACTATTTCTGCTCCTTCATGAAGCAGAAACAGAAGTTGGAGTGTTTGAGTGAAAGTGAAGAACTGATTTTGGTGCTCTAATTTACTCCTAGAATCAGTGTTTTTTACAAACTGGAGGAGACCAGCTTCTCAAAACTGATTCTGTTTTTGCTTCAAAAAAGAAGCAGAAGCAGAACCAGTTCCAAACACCCCCTTAGTATATTTATAACCATCCAATGTCAAGCTAAGACTTTTGTGGGGGGTGTTTTAGTTTAAGAGTTGTATTCATTCCTCATTCCTCTTCGATTAACTTTAAGAGCTCGTTTAGTGACCCTGTTTTTCGGCTTATCAGACTTATCAGCCAACTTTTTCACCAAATACGTAATTTTTTATTTCGCGAACTGAATTATGTAATACTCCATAATAAAAAAAGAAAGATTGGTGTTACTTTTCTCGCTGCATTGGCTGAAATTACTGTAGCAGATCATTTTAGAAATAATTGCCTGAATATTACAATTGAGGTTTTGATTTCTAAAATTATGACCGGATTTATTTTTTCTAGAAAACTGACCGTACGCACGCCTCTTCTCAAAAATAACTTCCGCCTCTCTTCTCAAAAAAGTAACTTCTGCCTCTTCCCTTCTCCTTCTGCGAACGAACATAGAGGAAGGAGCAAGACTTCGACGGCTAGAAGACCTCCAGAGAAGAAGACGGCGAGAAGACCGCCAGAGAAGACGATGGCGAGACGACCTCCAGGGAAGACGACGGCGACCTCCAGCGAAGACGACGACGACCACCATTGCGACACTTCAACCTCTTCGCTGCTCCTCTTCGCTGTTGTTGTTTGTTGGCTTCATACGTCTCATCCCTTCAAGGATAGCGCTGATTGACGAATTTCAGATCCGTGGTTGAAATTACAGATCTATTGTGTCTCTTTCAAATTGTTGGTGCAAGGATATCTCGCCGGTAATGCCGCTGTGCGACGCTGGGTGGGTTAAGGTAGGCCTGTCAATGGGTCGGGTCTAGACCCGGACCCGGTTGTTTTTAACGGGTACGGGTCTATATTTTATTCCGTTTACCCGGACCCAGATCCGGACCCGTTAGTACTTTTAATAAATGGGTCGGGTATGGTACATATGATTCCGACCCGTTAAAGACCCGAACCCGTTTAAAATTTCTTATATGTATACCCACACACTAATACATAAAGTAATTAGTTATAACACTTGAAATAAAATAAAATAAAAAACTAATACACACACATGTATACATAATAATACATAGAGTTATTAATTGTATTTTTTCAATTAAAAATATACACACTAATACATACCTAATATATAAGCGATATTGATAGGGATAGTGACATAACCTAAAACTAATATCCATTTTGGTCGTTTATACATACTGATAAAGTGTGTATTAGGCTTGGTAGGCAAAGCATAATATTTATTAGTATTATTGACAATATTGTTATATCATTATCGTGTATATATATATATAATACTCCGTATGTCATTATACTCTCAGTAGTCCAAGTTTTTGTGACTTACTTTCTAGTTTATTTTACTAGCTTTTTGTGCGAGAAAAAGCGACACAGAGTGTGTAGTTATACGTTTCTACAAGAACCGATACTTTACTGGATAAAAGTATTAATTTTCTATGAGAAATCTTGTTTTTTTGTATAATTAAGATATATTTTGCTTTTAAATTTGCACACTTTGTTTTACATTTTATTTACAGGCCTTGTTATTTTGACAAAGTGCAGAATGGGTCCGGGTCTACCCGACCCGGTTCCGAGACCCGTTGGGTATGGGTCTGGGTTCGGGCAGCACTGGGGTAGGGTGCGATGTGGCTGGTGGAGGGGGCTTATGAGGAGGGGGAGAGGCCGTATCTGTCTTTGGGTTGGGGCTGATGTTGAATCTGGTTGTGACTGGGTGAAGGGGGTAGGGAGGGGCTAGGAGGTGCGTTTGTGCGAAGACCTGGGGCTAAGATCTGTGTCGGTGGTGATGGGAGGGGGTTGGGGAGTTGATTCAGGGTTGGGGCGGCGGTAGGGGGCGGCGGTGGCATCAATGTGGCGTGTCACTATGGCTGAGTAACTTTGGCCGGTGGGCCGGCAGTCACAGCGACTGAAGTCACTGTGGCCGGTTGGTGGGTAGTCATTGTGGCTGGAAGTCGGGAAGTCATGGTTACTATAGTCACTTTGATCGGAGTCACTGTGGCGGTTGGGTAGTCACTGTGACCGGCGGGGCAGTCACTGTAGTCGGCGGGACTGTCACTGTGGTCGGTGGGGTCACTTTCGCCGGAGTCACTTTGCGGGGAGTCACTTTGCATTGTAGGGTTAATTGTGATGTTGGTCACATTTTTGGAATTTTAAAAAAGAGATCACTTTTTTATCGTTTATCCTATTTTTAGTAATATTGAAATAAAAAGGCCATCATTTTAGCTATTTTTACATTTAATTTATTCTTTACTTTATTAATAAAATATATTTTAAATATAATTTTTTCATAAATCAGCAGAATCAACCAATGCAGGTGAAACTTCATAAATTTCAACAGAATCAACCGATTTTAGTGTTACCAAACAGACTCTAAATGTGGAAACTTGACCCTTAGCCAAATCACCAGCATAATTTAATTCTCATGAAATATTTCATTTTTTCATGTTTGCTCGAGTAAATGATCTCACAAAGTGGCCCCTACTTTTGTTCAGGCGCAAACTTTGGTTTCCATCTCCCTAAGTCCTCAGTACGTATACGGTGCAACCTGTCCAGCATGAGCATCATGCTCCTGCACCCAATACGACGTCGTTTGGAGCATACTGCTCTAGCCTAAAAAAAATCGCGTGTTACTGTTCACGCGCGTGAACAATAACCTATGTTTTTGTTTTCAATTGTCCAGGAGCAGAATGATGTAACTCGTGTGTAATGAAATGTAACTCATGTTGTTCCACTACAAGAAAAATCATTTATAGAGGCATCACTTTGAAGCAACTTGTCTCTAAAAGATCCTTTTGATGAAATGTTTTTGAGCACGTTCCTCATCAAGTCTAGTTTATTCATACAAAATTTTAGCTCAAAATTCAATTGGGAAGATAGTTAAAAAATTCTTGAAACATATTACGTTTTATATATGTACAAAATGTGCTGTAAGAGAAGAGCCGTCACTTCAAGTGGCGGCTTTTGTACTGTAAGAGAAGAGCCGCCACTTCAAGTGGCGGCTTTTCTTAACCACGGTTAACCCATCAGTATTTTGGGAATTATTTTTAACCTAACAGTATTTTGGGAATTATTTATTTAATTAGCATTATTTTGGGAAAAAAACTCATTAATCTGACTGACAACTTCTATCCCGAGTGAGAAAGGGGGCCTCTGATCTATCAATGGAAGGATTTCCAAGTGTGGCATGATAATTCTGACCTGCGAGAAGGGGAATATCACTCGTTCGGGGTTCTTAGTTTCTTACCGGTTCACTGGGAGGGAAGCCGAACTGGTGCCATGGAGAGAAATGTTTTAATGGAAGGTTGTCGGTTCATATTATAGAAAAGAAAACGAAAGAAAAAAGCTGCAGATTCGCAAGGAGCGGAGAAAGAAGAAGAAAGAGGAAAAAAAGATTATAAAAATAGAAAAAAAAAAGTAAAAAAGGCCAGTTGGATATCCTGTAAGGATGTTTTTATGTAAAATAGACCGTAATATAGATCGTCTCCACAGTGACGGACAAAAGGGAATCAAGAATTAATTAAATTCAGCGATTAAAAAGAAAATAAAATAAAAGCGTCGTGCGAGATTGATTGGTTGGAAAATTAAACTAATAGGAATGAGCGAATAAAAATAAAGTTTAGTTTCTTTCTAATTAACGACGAAGAGAACAAGGATTAATTCCGGGGTAACCAGATTTCTGGCAAAACAGGCTTAATTACATGAAATTTAATTCAATTGAGCCTAGCTAAACATTACTAAGTTCTTACCGCTCTCGCGGCGTAGAGTACAATAATTTAGGGGACCAGGCTGATCTCTCATGCGACAGGATCCTAAATTATTGCCAAGACGAGCGAGCTTAAGGCCCCTTAATCACTACTAATCTCTTAGCGAACGATTAAGTGTGTGTGAATATGTCCTAGAATAAATTAGATCTCTCTTAAACGGCATTCATGCAATTAAACCGACATGAATCTAGTCATACATCATGATTAACCCCTCATCAACCACAAATCCCTAATTAAACTACTCACAATTCATAATTGAAGAATCAACAGAATCGGGATGAATAGAAATAATTGTCATTAATTAAAAAGATAGAACTTACAAAGAATCCCTTAATCTTGAAGAACAAGGCTTGAAAAACTCTCAAAAATCGAAATAGGGTTTATCTCTCTAAACTCACAAGTCAAAAACAGGCAAAACAGGGACCTATTTACAGAAAAACTCAAAATATGGCCGAAAATCAGCCCGCACGGTCGTCCGCACACCGTGCGGGTCACCGTGCGGGTACGCGCGCGTTTTTCCCATCTTCCGTGTTTCGCTCTGCCTGCGCGGTGTGCAGGTGCCGCACTATGCAACCGCGCGGGTACTTCTGGGGGCTATTTCTTGAAGAATAAGGCTTGAAAAAGCTCTCAAAATCGAAATAGGGTTTATCTCTCTAAACTCATAAGTCAAAAACAGGCAAAACAGGGACCTATTTATAGAAAAACACAAAATCTGGCCGAAAATCAGCCCGCACGGTCGTTCGCACGCCGTGCGGGTCACCGTGCGGGTACACGCGCGTTTTTCCGTCTTCTGTGTTTCGCTACGCCTGCACGGTGTGCGGGCGCCGCACTATGCAACCGCGCGGGTACTCCTGGGGGCTATTTCTGAACCGCGCGGGGTGCGGTTTCGGCCGCGCGGTGT